ATTCAATGATGGGAAACCCGTCAAGATAATAGCAACTGTCTGTTCCACATACGATTCGACCTGTGTGAGGGTCATTCATACCTGAATTGTATCACAATGATGTGACCTCTGCCATGATATACATACATAATACTTGTATACATACATACATACTAGCATACGTACATACATACTTGCATACATAATGGCTAGCCACTCGTATTTGTAGATGCTCGTCGACTAGGGCGGCTAGCTAATCCCGCCTGGGCATATTTTGTGTTTGTTCAACGTTCACAGAGGCCAATTGTGGTTTATACTGCATCTATGCTTAGAGTTTCTGGAATAGAGCGCATTATCTAGTGTGATCAGCAGTCTGAACGATCAAACACTCGGTCACGATGACTCGTGACTTCGTGCTAGCATAACCATCAACGGCCCCAAGGGTTCCGTCTACCCGATTTCTCTAACAAGGCCATTCAGTATGGCTTTCAGGCACTTTTCCATCGTCTCCTCCAGACCGATAACATCAGGAAGTCATGTTCCTGACAAATCTACTCTGGTGAGATTCGAACCCGTATTTCAGGGTCAGGATGCAAACGTTCTAACCACTAGTGTCGATAAATACATACATGCTTGCATAAATACATATATACATACATACATACGAGCGGCGGGCTGAGACAGCAGCCAGTTCTGAAAAGACAGAAATCAAACTTATAGAATTTGGTCTCTGCAAATAGGGATTGATGCACATTACCCAGTTGTTGCATCGTTCCCATATGCTGGGAGTTCTTCGGTAACAGTTTCCATTCGATAATAAAGTTGAATTCTTTTCCCGTTCGTCTTCTTCCGGTCGGTAATTTCTAGTCAGTTTTAAGTTCAGAGATGAAAGAACGTCAACACAGGGAATTTTAACTTAGCTAGTTTATTAACGTCGAGATATACATTTTCTAACTAGCCAGTAGAGTCACTCTCTCCTTCCACTGGGGAGAAGTTTCCAGACACGAAAGTCAACACGTCTACATTGTTTGACGTGTAAGAATCAACTCCCTGAAATCCCTTTCTCTATCTATCGTTCTCATGCTGACTCAGCCAATCAAAATCGACGTCCTTTTTTTGTCTTTTATGTGATCTCTAAGTTTCCAGACACGAAAGTCAACACGTCTACATTGTTTGACGTGTAAGAATCAACTCCCTGAAATCCCTTTCTTTGTGTAAAGTTCTCATGCTGACTCAGCCAATCAAAATCAACATCCTTGTTTTGTCCTGCATGTGATCTCTAAGTTCAACCCGAGGAAGTTAGAGCAGAGATACACTTCCCCTAAAACTAATCGTCTGCTAAACTATTATTTAAAACCAGCAAGAATACATTAGAGTTTTAAATAAAACTTAATTTCTAACCAATCAGAGGTTTTCCCGCTTCTTCTTGATAACGAGGCTATCCGTGTGACGGACGCAGATAGCCCAAACACTCATACACGCATATATTAAGGTTAATTTCCGGCTGACAACAGAAGAGGTCACGTGGAATTCTTGAGACATTTTGGGAAAGCAAGTCAAGAGTTTGACTGACCCAATTACCTGTAGCAACAGATGTCTAGACAGAAGCTAGACAGGTGGATTGATGTAAGCTGGAATTCGCGCCAAAACGCAGGACACGTGAGAGTTAGAAAATTACTTGGGAGTCAGTTGCTGTCTTGTCTTTGAAAGTTGGGAGAAGTAGAGAAGAAGAAAACAAGTCGGGACGCTACTATATCAGAAATGGTATCTTAATGAGGCGGTGGAAACCGCAGGTCCATGCCGGAACGGATAAATATGATGGATATGAGCAAATAATAGTTCCTACAAGGTACCGTAAGGAGATATTATCTATAGCACATGATAGCCAGTGGGCTGGACATTTGGGCAGAGTTACTAAATATTTCTACTGGCCGGGAATAAGGAGAGATGTAAGGTCATTTTGTCGGACATGTAAAACATGCCAAGTTGCGGGCAAACCTAACCAGGCGATTCCAAAAGCGCCCTTACAACCAATACCAGCCACGGAAGAACCATTCAACAGAATTATAGTTGATTGTGTTGGACCTTTACCGAGGACCAAAAATTCGTACAAATATCTGTTAACCATAATGTGCTCTTCAACTAGGTACCCTGAAGCAATTCCGTTGAGGAACATGTCGGCAAAGAAGTTAGTAGACGCCTTAGTAAACATTTTCACGAGAATGGACTTGCCTAAAATTATACAGACGGATCAGGGATCCAATTTTACATCAAGTTTATTCAAGGAGGTCACAAGTCAATTGGGAGTTACGCATGTGAAACCGAGTGCATATCATCCACAATCTCAGGGAGCGTTGGAGCGATTTCATGCTGCGTTAAAGACCATGTTGAGGACGTACTGCATGGAGAAGATTGGGATAAGGGAGTACCCTTTGTGTTATTCGCAATGCGTGAAGCAATTCATGAATCCACAGGATTCAGCCCATTCGAGTTAATTTTTGGACATAGAGTGAGGAGACCACTCCAGTTATTACAAGAAAAATGGATGGTAGATCAGCCTAGACGTGGCAATATGAAGGAGTATGTGGCGAATATGAGACAGAAGTTGAAAGCTGCGCAAGAACTGGCAAGGAAACATCTGCGAAATAATCAGATGAATATGAAGGAGAAATATGATAGAAAGGCCGTTAATAGGCAATTCAAAGAAGCTGATGAAGTACTCCTAATGTTACCTTCGAACAGTTGGCCATTTGAGGCAAAGTACCAGGGACCGTTCAAAGTACTGAAAAAACTGAACAGTTTGAATTATTTGGTACATATGCCCAGCCGAAGGAAAAGTAGAATGAAATGCCATGTAAATATGCTGAAAATGTTTTGTAAAAGAGAGGAAGAATAAGCAATAATGCTAGTGAATGAACAAGAGAAAGAGAAGGTAGAAAGATATAAGGAAGATAAAAACTGGATAGAAAAGGACCAACCTCTTAAATTGGAAAATTCCAGAATATCGGAAAATCTGGAGAAAAAGTTGGCTCATCTTACTGATGATGTAAAGCAGAACCTGGGAACTTTAATAAATACATATCGGGATATATTCTCGGATACACCCCAGCAGACCAATGCCGCAGTACATGATATAATATTGACGTCGGAACAACCGATCAAACAGCATCCATATCGTTTAAACCCCAGAAGGTTGAAAGTTATGAGAAAAGAAATTAAATATATGATGGAACACGGAGTTATTGAGCCTAGTCAAAGTGAATGGGCATCACCCTGTGTGTTAGTAGACAAGCCGGATGGCACTGTACGGTTTTGTATGGACTATAGAAAAGTGAATAGCATCACGAAGGCAGATGCTTATACAATCCCCAGGATGGAGGATTGTATCGACCGGATTGGTCAGGCTAAATATATCACCAAGCTAGATATGCTGAAAGGATATTGGGCCGTACCGTTAACTGACAAAGCGAAAACGATATCAGCGTTTGTAACCACAGAAGGAGCTTATCAATATCGAGTTATACCCTTTGGTATGAGGAACGCGCAAGCTACGTTCGTACGTCTAATGAATAGATATTTGTCCGATATTCCAGGAGTCGATGCATATATCGATGATGTCATAATTTACAGTGACACAGAGAGTGAGCATCTGGATACGATGCAGAAGGTCTTTGAAAGATTAAAAGAGGCAAAGTTGACAGTAAATCTTGGCAAAAGTGAATTTTGTAATGCCAAAGTGAAATATCTAGGACATGTAATTGGGCAAGGAAGGATTAAACCAATAGAGGCAAAGACTGCAGCCATCGCAGAATTTCCTCGTCCCACTAATATCCGAAGTCTAAGAAGGTTCTTAGGGATGGCTAATTACTATAGGAGGTATTGTAGGAATTTGGCCGAAATCGCTACACCGCTAACAAACTTGTTAGGAAAGGGGCATAACTTTTTGTGAACCACGGAATATGAGGTCGCATTGGAAACCATTAAAAGTAAGTTAAAATCAAATCCTGTGTTAAAGGCCCCAGATTTCAACAAGCCGTTTCAGATGTATGTAGATGCCATCGATGTGGGAATCGGAGCTGTATTAATGCAAGAAGATGAAGATAAAGAGTTACATTCAGTAAGCTTCTATTCAAAGAAATTGAATAAGTTCCAGAAGTCCTATTCAACAATAGAAAAAGAAGCCTTAGCGTTAATATTAGCTGTTCTCCATTTTGAGGTTTATATAACCAATTCTCTTTCTCCCACAGTTGTATATACTGATCCATTAACGTTTATAGATCGCATTAGAAATAAAAACCAAAGATTACAAAGTTGGAGTCTTATATTGCAGGAGTTCAATCTTCAAATAAAGCATATTGCTGGAACAGCAAATAAAGTAGCGGATACCTTGTCGAGATATTGAAAATGAGTGCAGATGTTAACCATAATTTGGAAAGGATTAAATAAAAGAAGGTATACCTTAGTGGAATTGAGAAAATATAAAATATGTATGTTTTGATGGAGCTGGAAACTGAAAGAAAAAAAAATGAATATGTTTTAATAGTATTGAGTGTGTATGTTATTAAAACTGGAAGAAAAAAATGTGTGTATATTTTGACAAAGCTGTAAATTTTTTTTTGTTCTTGTGTATATTTGAAAAAAATGTATAATGATATAAAGAGTATGTATCTATTGATGTTGCAATCAGAAAAAAAGAAAAGAGAAGACGACCCATTGTTTGTTCAGATGATGTTGGGATATATTGTTGAAAAAAAAAGAAAAAAAGGTTTCTTTTTTCTTTTTTTTCGTTTATGTTGGGAGATGTGACGGACGCAGATAGCCGAAACACGCATACACGCATATATTAAGGTTAATTTCCGCCTGACAACAGAAGAGGTCAACTGGAAGTCTTGAGACATTTTGGGAAAGCAAGTCAAGAGGTTGATTGACCCAATTACCCGTAGCAACAGATGTCTAGACAGAAGTTAGACAGGGGACTGATGTAAGCTGGAATTCGCGCCAAAACGCAGGACACGTGAGAGTTAGAAAATTACTTGGGAGTCAGTTGCTGTCTTGTCTTTGAAGGAGCAAGAGTCGAAATCGAAGCGCTGATAACTTATGAACGGAAAGATGAGACTCATTTGATAATGATGGAACTTGTCCAATTCATCCCAGGCAACTCCGGACAAGAAATATAAGAACATGTATTTCTGTTCGATAACCCCAAATTGAAGACGATAACTCTCGTTATTTATCACAGAAGACGCAAAGGAATTTCTACGCTGAGAATACAAACTGCGTTTGAAGAAAAGAGAAAACCAGAGAGGAAGAAAGTATATATCTCTGTTACAAGCTGAATTGTGTAAAGAAGAAAGAAAGAAGAAAAACAGAGAGAGGAAGAAAGTGTATATACCTGTTGCAGTTGAATCGTGTTTGAAACTGAACTGTATACAGAAGAAGAAAGAAGGAAAGCACAAAAGAAAACCAGAGAGAGGAAGAAAGTGTATATCTCTGTTACAGACGGACAGTGTGTGAAATCGTATTTGTTTCAAGAAAAAAAGGGAAAGAAAAGAGGAAACGTGAAAGAGAAAAGAAAGGACAATGATAAAAAAATAGAACTGAATATAAAGATAAGTAATCATATATTTTGGACTCGTGTTAGAAAGATACATATGCATCCATAAATATTATGTTCTTACAAACATCTTTCCACATGTCAAAATAATAATATGTAACTTCTATCCTATCTCTTTTGGTTATGTGATTGATTTCTGCATTCGTAGTTATTCATACTTATATTTTTTTATCCGTTCGGGTTCAGTCGAATCCATTTGGAGTTAGGCATATTTTGATATCCCAACATAAGTCTTGAGATCTGGTCGTCGGATGTTTTACTCATGCTTATATTTTCTTTTATTTTAATATTTTGTATATCTGTACATATTAAAGTTTTTATATCAAAATTCACTACGCCTTATCGTTCATCCTTGAATTGTGGATCAGTATTCGTGTTGAAACCGAAGCGAACCTGGGAAAAGATTACTGTTCGATTATCCTAATCGAACAGCGTTCTTTAAAATATTTTTTTTGTTTACTAATTGTCTATTGTCATGATCTGAGAGAGATAGTCTGTATCTCTCCACAGGTGTGATAATGCATATATCTTCTGGTCGGCGTGTGATCGCCTTATAAACCCATTCGTCGACTAGGGCATATGACATCCGACAGTCTGATCTAGTTTGAACGCATAAAAAAGTGATTTCTCTAAATTCTAACTGCCAGATTCTTAAAATTGTTTCTTTTTAATTGTACAGGATTCGTGGCTTGGAATCCTTTAGCACGAATATTTTTTTGCGTATTTGTTTTAAACAAGTCCAAAAAAGGAACAAAAAGTACAGAGATACAGAACGCGACCATCACATTAACTTTCAACAAAATGGCTGCCTTTTGTTCGAATGACCCACGGCTTCAAACCTATGGAAATAATCAGCGGTCGGTGTTATTTTACAACACCACCTTAAAATAATCTGTATTAAAAACTAAAGCAACAAATTATATTTCATGTCTTACTTCCCGAAAGCAGGAAGCTTCGACGACTTTTGGAAACAGCGTAATTAGACAATAAAAGCAACCTTTTTTACCATTAGGACTTTCAACAGCAGCAACAACTAAAATGGATAGCACATATAACTCAAAGACAAAATAATGACATAAAGAAGATATTGACGTTCTACACTACTTCAAATAAAAGTTTAGGCAGGAAACCTCCGTCAATACTGAAAAGAGCGATAACAGCCACTGGACCCGAGAAACGTATTTTTCTGAAAATTTGTTTCAAGAGAAAGATTTTATAAATTTCAACCGATAGCAGCACTGACTGCTCGATCAATGAATGCCGAATGTTTCCTTATAAAGAAGCGGCTAATATTACCTTTACCATTATCTCCAAAACTTATCGAACTAAATTCGAAGATGGCGTCTTACGCCACATCTTCATTAAAAAAAATCTTCCGCGAGAGCTATAGATTTATTTGATAACTATGGGAGAAAAAACGACTTATGACTAAATTATGCGAAATAGCGGATCGACTAATGGATGTATCGCTACAGATGCAATTCATTTTGAGTGTTTACTGTTCAAAAAATGATGTTAAGATTTAGTTGGTTGCTAAATAGAAAAAAAATGGCTCTACAGATGAAAGATCTTACAGCAGCGATAAATCTACTAAAAAAAAAAAACAACATTTCAACGCATTTCTTCCAGAGGCAGAAAACAGTTTAGAAATAAACCAAAAATATGCAATAACATTCGTTGGTATCGCAAGGAATTCGTTGAGAAAGCGTCAAAATGCCTCACTCTCAGAAAATATAAATCCTAGAGAAGGGGTTAAACCAGCAGTTTTCGTCGACGGGGCATGATGGCCTTTCTAATCCGAGTCGAATTTTTCACATGACAAACAGTAACGCTAAACTCCAATTGTTAATCGATAGCGAAGCTGCAATCTCTTTAATCCTAGCTTCCTCAGGTAACAAATCAAATAGCCTGAGAAGTTCAGGTTGCGCGCCATTAACGGCTCCATAATTCATGCTTATGGACAAAAATATCTTGCATTAAATTTAGGATTCTGATGAGGTTTTTTCCCCGGGCATTCATCATAGCCGATATAATCACGCCAATATTAAGGGCTTATTTCTTCCATTATTGTGAATGTCCGCCATTTTACTTATCCCCTAAACGCATTAGGGTTGTAAGGGATCCATATGTCTTCCAAGATAATCTGGTGCAGCGCTTTTATCTTCAAACTATTTTTTGAATTCAGATGTCCTAATTAAATTTATTTGAAGGCAAGAAAGCCCATGCTGTTTAACCTATAGCCGAGGAGAGAAAATATGTATTTCTAAACGTGAACTAAATAGTGAAAGTTAGCTTTTATTTTCTAAATAGCAAAAAATTGACGCAACGAACTCGGCCGGAATTCGAACTCGCCCCGCCGATTTCTCTTTCCGTTACACCACCAGCGCACCTCTGATCTGCTAATAGACGTTATTTTAAGCTACAACCAACAAAAAACCCACATCAAGTCTGTGGGTTCAAAACACGTGATCCCTTAGTCCTGGACTCGAGGTGATAGAACAAAACTCGGAATTTTTACAGGTATTATCCGACTTTCCAGATATATACGAATCAAAATAAAATAGGCACGTAATAAACATGACGTCATTGAAGAATTTTTATATGTAGCGAGGAGAAGAGAAAACGTCACCTCTCCTTTTGTTGGTCTGGCAAGCCGGATATCTTAAATAGCTATGAATCGACTATCAGTTGAAACAGGAAGTTGATACCTTGGATTGGTAATTCAATTTCCCCATTGGTTAAAAAATAGCAAAATGTACCACTTAAACCGCGCTTCTTTGCAAACTTTATCTAAGTTAGTTTTGAAACTCAAGGACTTGAGCACTTTTTATTACATATTTGAAAACCAATTTTTACACGTGTATCTTTTTCATAAACGGGCAAACTTCATTTTAGTGCTATTTACATGATCAGATCTGAGCATCACATATACAAAGTTTTACATATTGAATTTATTCAAATCATTTTTATTAAGTAAACATCTGTTGTTTTTTATAATAATTTCTTAAACGCTCCTCTAAAAAAAGATTTGTTATAAACAAACCTAGTCTATCGTATCATTATTTTTTATATTTATTTTTTTTATTAATCTATTATGATAAATAAAATGTTCCTTCCTGCACCTTACAATTAGGCAAGATAACAAGTTCTAATACTATAATTTGTTAGGCTCATAAAAGGTAAACACAATTATAGTTTTTTTTTTCCAAATGTATTCACTTGCTTTCATACATTCAACAATCGAAAATCTTTCAGAAGGATGGCAAATTCACAAGCGTTGCTGGGCAATTTAAACAATAGTTCAGTTTTTAAACTGAACTTCAATATTAAGATAAATCTCTTTTTCTTTTCAAATTAGGGTTAATACCGTTAATTCGTGAATCTTTTTTCAATTTTATTTCAGCTTCTTTTCTTTTTCTTCTCAGCGTCCTTTTCGTTGGCGGCGCCGGTGTGGACGTTTTTTAATTTTTTTCTTTATTCTTCTGTTACTTCCTTTTCATTGTCGACAGTGATGTTGTCGACTTTTAGTTTTTCTTTGTTCTTCCTTTTCGTCGTCGTCCTTGTGAATCCCGAAACCTTTCCGCTTCTTGCTCTCCTAGAGTCTTTTAGTAACCTACGCTCGTGAAACCCGTTTGCTTTCTATCATCCAGCAGCTGGCACGTAAAAGCTAAAACCCTTGTGACAGTCTGCCTGGCCAGACTTTTTAAATAGCCACGAAACCGCTTCCTATTGGATTAAAAATTTGATACCTTCAGTTCGTAATTTACTTTCTGCGTTGATTATAAAATCACAAAAATGTACCTCTTAAACCAAGCCTTTTTGCAAACTGTATTTAGGCAGGTTTTGAAACTGTAAGACGTTTATAAATTCAAAACCAAATTTTACACGTGTATCTTTTTTTTCATAGACTGTCATACTTCATTTTGGCGCTATTTACAACATTAGATTACCAAAGTTTATTCAAACCAATTTCTTTTTTTATTGATTAACCGCCTGGCTTTCATTTTATAATTATTTTTATAGACTCATCTGAAAAGAAAGTGCAATAAACAAATCCAGTCTATTGTATCATAATGTTTTTTTTTTTTTATATTCAGCCTTTAATTATTTTTATATAATTTTACATTTTATTTAAAATTTTTATAGTTATTCATTGAATAGAGACGACTAAATATACCGTTATTTTACCTCACCCTCATCTTTTGTCCCCTGATGAGCTCAAAATTGCAAAATAGGAATGTGAAAATTTAATGAACCTTGGAACAAGCAGTTAGTATTCACCACGACACCTGATCCCCAAACAAAATCCTCTGCGTCGTGACCTTGCAGTGATTATCGAATATTTCATTCCATTACGATCCTTGATCAGTCTCCGATTTCGAATATCCAAGATTTTACAAGCAAACGCATGCAGTGCTATTGTTTACTCAAAAATTGATCTAATTTGAGTCTATCCTCAAATTTTAAGAAGAAAAGTTAGACATTATAAAAAAGCGATCACATTTTTTTCAGGCTGCTCGAATTCCGTTTGAACTAAGAAATGCCGCATAGTGATTTCAAAGGTTTATGAATCGTGTCCTCCAAGGCCTGGATTCAATCTTTTTGTTGTCATAGTGATGGATCTTAATTGCCAGCACACTAGGAACAGTACATAAACATAATTACAAGTGATTCTTATGAGATTTTGTAAACATATCATTATTGTGAATCCTATAATATGCCAATTCGGTTTATACGAAATCAAATTCAAATGGTATCAGATCTTTTACCAGAAAGAACTGAAGTTATTTGTTCATTCCTGGTTCCGAAAACTTTGAAAGCATTACACCAAATTCTCATTATGCTAAATTTTTATCCTTAGCTAAACTGATTTATCCATTAACCGATGTACTTCAAAGACAAACAAAGAAAAATTATGATGTACAACTGTAACTGCGCTGTCAGTTTTTAATCTGGTTAAAGCAATGAGGAAAGAGGGATTAGAAAATCTGATACTCACAGGACTGA